CTTCTTCCCTGTGATTCTCTAGAAGCCGATGAGCTGGGAAAACTTAAACAAGAAAGGGATGCTGCTCGGGAAGAAGTGAACGCACTGAAGGTACTCGCCTCTTCAGCTTCCTCACTTTTCCTTTGAAAAAGATGTGATCCCGTACTGGATTCGGGAGGATTGAGGCTCATTTTGTTTTTAATTAAAGTACGTTAGTACCAAATAGGATCAAATCGCTTGTTTAATTGTCTTTAGAGAGCTTTCTGATGGTTCCCACTCACTTTTTTTTTCCCACTTTGTGATACGCGCATAAGATCCGATGTGCACGGTAGTTTTCCTCTCATGTCTGATCCGGCTCTTCTTCCTCCTTCTCTTCTCTCATGTTGGTGGCAACAGCAGATGTAGCTGAGGAGCCAACTAAGCAAGCTGTGACAATTTTGAATCCTCTGATGTTTGTAGGAAATATATTTTTTTTCCAGGTGCAGGGCCATGTCTGAGGGATGATGTGTTTTGCTAATGCAATTTGAAAATGAAGGCACTGTGTTTTCAGAACAAATCACATATGCTCCAAATACACGATAACATTTTGATTCACTCTCTGTAGTGGCATTCTGTTCTTAATGGAATATTGGGTCTAAGTTAGATCCTGACTTTTACAGGAAGTCATTATATGTTCCAAGGAAAGCAACAAAATTTAAATTATTTTTAATAGGTGATGACCTCTAGGTATTTAATTTAGTTTCATGTGACATAAATTCTTTATTCAAAAAAGAAGCACCATTTTCTTTCTTCTGTTGTTTTATAATGCCAGTCTTTAGAGAAAGCCAACATTAAAAATTTTTTAGCATATCTTCTCAGAGAGTTTCTGAAGATAGCCCAGCCAAATCACATTTTTAAAAATAAACATATATGTGCAGGGGTCAGAGACACATGGGAACTTCTGTACCATTCTCTACCTTTCACTATAACCCTAAAACTGCTCCAAAAAGTGAATTCTTTAAACAATTATAAAGAAGTGGATGTGTGTTAACTTACGCATAGATTAGTTCTTATAGAGCCACGTTATTACAGCTCGGCTTCTGTTTCTCCCGTGCTTCAAGATGAATCATAGCAGCTTCTACCACGGCTCTCCCTTGGTAGAGACCCCCTACACCAGCTATTCATATTACAGTGTTTTTAGCCAGTTCTCTGTTAATGGATGTTTAGGTTATCTCTAGTTTTCCATAATCAAAACTAACTCCAGGGACTGGAAAGATGGCTTAACAGTTATGAGAACTTTCTCCTAGTCCAGAGGACCCGAGTTAGGTTCACAGCATCCATATCAAATGACTTACAGCTTCCTATAACTCCAGCTCCAGGGGATCCAACACCATCTTCTGGCCTCCAAGGACACCCACACATATGTGACATATACACAGTAGATACACACACATGAAAATGAGAAAAAAGTAAGTCTGTAATAATAATAATAATAATTATGTTTTTAGTAACTTTGTAGATGTGTGGGTGGGCAGCTGTGAAAGTTCACAGTAAATCTGTGAAAATGGAATTGCAATATTAAAGAATACCAGTGTAAAACATTCTGTATATTTCTCCCAATTTCCTTTCATAAGGTTTTAGTAATTTGTATTCCTTTAGTAAAATGAACTTCCTGCAACTGTGGTTATATTTCATAACTCTGAAATCCCTCCCTTTCCACGAGTTGGTGTATCTGTATGGAAATACAGAATTCATTTTTTAAATCATTAGTTTCTTCTTACTCTCTTCAGACAGCCCTATAGTGTTGGTCATGTTGATAAGACAGAATTTTCTATGTGAATCATCTTTACACAAACAAAATCCACAGATGCCAGAGGTTTCAGGGGTTCTTGGATATTTTTCATTTCCCTAAATTTTATCACTGTTAGATTTAATGATATATTTTGAGTTTTATTTTAATGTCAATATTAATTGCTAGAATTTTAATTTGAAAGTGTGTGAGCCAAACTGATGTAACATTTAGACAGGGTCCCCACGAGGAGCCATTCAATCAAGATCACCTTTCAAGTTCATGAACTGTAATTGAGCATATTTTAATGTTACAAACCCTGGAGTCCCAAAATAAAACAGACTCTGTTTTAAGTTTCCTCTGCATTAAATCTTTTCTCTGAGACCCATTTTCTTCTAAAGTTTTATAAGGGCTGAAGGGCTGTCTCAGTCATTAAGAGTGCCTGTTGTTCATACAGAGAATCTAGGTTCTATTCCCAGCACCCACTTGATGGTTCACAACCAACCATAACCCCAGTTCCAGGGGATCCTATGCTCTCTTTGACCTCTGTGGGCACCAAGCACACATGTGGTACACATACATACATTCAGGCCAAACACGTATGCACATAAAATAAAATGGATAAATTTAATTTCAAAGTAGTATATCAAGCAATAAATATTTTACTTGAGATAATGTTTATATTTTCAGTTATTATACCTGTTGTGCTACAGGTGTGTACACACACACAGGAATATGCACACTTGGACACAGAGCAGCAGAGCTTGTTAAATGAGGATCATAGAGCAGAAATGGTCCACTCCCACTCATCATCATCCTCTGACAGCTCTAGTCTCTGTGTCTCTCTTGAGGTACAAATAGGCCATGGCTAATTTTTATTTTGCAGAAGTGATGCGTCATAGTGTTATGGGAACTTTTTAACCCAAAGCCTTTCACAGAATTCAGACCGCTCCTGCTTTTCAGAGAAGAGTGGAAATGTAGGTGCATTTCCCATCAACAGGTGCAAAGGAAAACAGAGCAGAGCACCAAGAGGGAAGGTGGCTTGAGAGCGTGAAGCCACACAAGGCCCCAGGCTCTCGCTGCTGACCTGTGGCAGCCATTAGACTGCTCAGTCAGACTCGCCTTCACTTGCCTTTATTTCCCTCCTAGACCAGAGCAGGCTGAGTTATCCAGAGGTCAGGTTTTGCATCTTCTAAACATGGTGATGTTGCCACGAATCTTCACCACGCTATTTAAGGTCCAAGTAGCCTGTTCACATTTTCAGGAAGCTGGCTCCTGAGTCACTAAGCATTTCTGACTAGACCACTCAGCAAGGTGGGACATCTCAGAGTACATGCTTAATTTAATTTTAGGTTCAAAAATAGTAATATTTTACTGTTATGTTGTAGACAACTATGTATTTCATATTTTGGCATAATAGTTGTATCCTTTTTGTGAGTTAATTGTTTGAAAATGGGCTAAAATTACATTAGGAAACTAAGAGTCGACCCAGTCTTTCTTTGATATGATTAGAAGCTTTTTTTTAATGCCCAATTCAGAATAACAAGGCCTTTTGTTTGGTAGCTCTTTGGTAATAATAGCTGTCACTCAAAATTTAGTTGCTGTTTACCCATTTCAATCCTGACTGATTTCTTTTGGATCTCAGAATTTGACATCATATAACATTAAGGTAATAAAGAATGTTTTCACCACAATTGTACTTAGATAGCTAAGTACTAGAGAATGATATGTGAAACCAGAAAATGAGCAGGAATTGCATTAGGAGATGTTAGCAATTTGATGTTTGAGGAATAAACTTTGAAACAGAGGACTAAAAATCATACTTGATGTCACGATGACATGCTATTAATTCAGTGGTTTTTAAACACAGGAGAAATTACTTGAATCAGAAAAACATAGGAAAGAGCTAACAGAAGAACTCCAGAATGTGAAACAGGTAAGTCCGTGTGGGGGTAGGGTGTGTGGGGGGGATTGGGGGTGCGTGAGGGTGGGTGCATGGGTCTACCCAAATTTTAAAGTGGTAGTGCTTCATCATATCTGAGAATCTGCTGCTGCAAACGACCCAGGAGAAAACTGGAGAACTCTTAAAAAATGAGCCTTTGGAGTTTATACTCACTAGAGTCCTGCTCTGTTACTTAAACAGGTTTTAAAACTCTGAAATGGCTTCCATGAACCAAAATGACCAGCCCCGTTGCTTTCCTGTCCTTTCATTTCCCTTTTCTTTCTGTTCTCCCTTTCTTTCTTTTGTCATTTGTACTTCAAGATTTTATTAAAGAAAAACAAAACAAGCACTCCTCCCCAAAACTGCCCACAGAGCATTGTTACAGTTAGTTGTTAATAGTAAGTGATGAAGAATTTGCTTTCACGGTCCATAGTCTTCACCAAATTGGAAACAGATTAGAACAAGACAGCTAGAAATATGAAAAAGTAGAAGCACAAACAGTGAATCCACCCAGAATGTTAATACTCTGAGTAAGTGTTGCTAGAACCCTGTTAGAGCCCTGCAGTGGTTGCTTGCTTCTGAATCCCTCTCACACTGCCCTCATAGAAAGCGTTAAATTGGCCAAGAAAACAACCTGAGCCACACTTGACTCCTATCCTCAATATGGCCATGGCAGAGACCAGAAGAAACCTCTAAAAGTACATATAAGGAGAGTAAATTATTTTCAAAGTAAGTCCTGAAGCTGGCCTGCCACTCAAACCAAGGCTACCTAGAACAGAGAGGCATTAAGGACTCTGAAAGGAGTAGGGAGAAACAAGAATCCATGAAATAGAAGTGAAATCAGCCCCAGAAAGAGAAGGTGTAGTAATCAATGCCCAAATCCCAGACATCTGACAGGATTTGATGGCTCTTAGCCTGGATTCAGAAGAGTGTGCCCCCCAGAAGTAGCAGCCACTGAGAGTCATAGCTTCTGGGGAAGAATCAGGTGAATTAGTTAACAGAATACTGTGGGACCACACAGTTACACAAAAGAAAACCCCAAGAGGAAAGAAAATAAAGGATCTTACAGAAAGAGAAGACATCTCAATCTGCCCACTTCTCACCCTGGGACCATCAGTAATATGACCCATAATGCACCTACACAGAAGAGGGTGCTCTTGACCTAAGACCTTTCTATGAAATAATTTTTTAAGCCAAAAAAAAAATCAACATCATTACCAAACTGCACAAGTTTGTGTGAATTAAAGTTTCAGTCCTGGTAAAATGTGCACAGCAATTGAATAAGAAAATGGTAGACAGCTGTAACTTAACATCCCACATTCAGCCAAACAAGTATTTGGAGCTAAGAGAAATAGGCCTTAAATCTGAAATTTAAAAAGAAGAAGACAAGACTAGGGCCAGTGAGGTGGCTCCCGGAGTCAAGGTGCTTGCTGCCAGGCCTGACAGTTGTGAAAATTTAGTAAAGAAATAGAAATGAAAATTAAATTTCCAAGATTTATATTCAAGTGCACTGGAAACATGACAATAAATTGTAGAATTTCTTGGAGAAACCAGTCAGAACAAGAAAACGCTAAAATTGAGAATTATCCAACCAAACTTTCCAGAATTAGAAAAGCTGCATCAAATGAGCAGCCTCTCGGAGGGTCCAGAACCTCCCACCACCACCATATGTACACGCCCAGAAAGATGATGGATTTCGGGGCCCAGAAGTAAGTTCAGTTACTCCTGGAGCCACTTCACAAAGTAGGAAGTGCTGGAGTTGACAGAGCCACACCATGAGGAGCTGCCTGACAAGGACTTCTGTGCCTGCGTCTGGATGAACCAGGACACCAAAGCATTAATCATAGTCGTAAATGATGCACCGTGGAATAATGATAACTCACAAGCCCGTACCATGTATAATTAGATTAGCTAATGGATGGGGAAAGAGCAGCACTGTGGCTCATGGTGATTGTGGAGTGCAGACGGGAAACAGCAGCAACACTGCTAGAATTGGAAAGAAGCATTTTGAATGTTTTAGTAAGGATTGAATTAGGGACAAATTAAGATGCTAAATTTAGGAGGAAATTTTAATGAACAAGATATCTACATAGTTATGTGGTTTAAAAGTAACTCTCCAAACCACTGCTAATTATAAGGGAGAAATAGTAATTATGCAGTGGAAAATTGAGAAAACAGTTTGATGCTAAAAGTTGTCCTCACCAATGAAGAAGTCATTGTCACTCCAAATGTGATACCCTGAAAAGGACACAGTGTCACCTGTGTGCTATTCTGACTGAAAGTGTGTAGCCTAAGTCTAACCTTAGGGGACATCTGGGTGTGTGTGTGTGTGTGTGTGTGTGTGTGTGTGTGTGTGTGTGTGTGTGTGTGTGAGTGTGTGTGTGTTATTCTTCAGAACCACTCACCCTAAACTGATACAATGCTGGACATTAAGAGGAGTTAAGAAGCAGGAAATCTAAAATGCCTGACCCAAGGCTGGATCCTGTACTGGGTGTGGGGAATAATGAAGGACATTACTGAGTGATTTGACCAATGTGGAATGCAGAAGGTAGAGCAGATTGATAAAAATATTGACTAGAATTTAAAACTCCTAAATGAACTATAGTTACATATCTTTATTAGGAATACTGTTGTACTTAAGGGGAAAGGGCTATGATATATGTAATTTACTCTACATGGTTAAGTAACCATATGCATGCATGCATGTTACATACACATACATATACATGCTGAATATAGGGGAGGTTGAAAACGTAATGTTTTTGCAACAGCTTCTAAATATCCATGCTTTATAAGAATACCTTGTATCTCATTCATCAACATGTTGGCCAAAGGCTAAATCTGGTATGTTTGGGAAATCTGGGTGGAGAATATAAGAAAATTCTTCTTCTTCCTCTTTATTTTTCTTTGTTTTATTTATTTATTTTATGTGTATGAATGTTGGCCTGCGTGTACATATTACACCACATGCATGCCTGTTGTCCAAGGTCAGAAGAACCCATGGATCCAATGGATCTGAAGTTATAGATGGTTGTGAGCCACCATGTGGGTGGTGGAAACCAAACCTGGGTCCTCTGCAAGAGCAGCAAATGTCCTTAACCAGAGACATCTTTCCAGAATAATGCTATTCTTAGACCTATAAAAAAAATTATTATTTATTTTTTTGTTTAAACTTTTTTCATTTTACATACCAAACACTGTTCCCCCTCCCTCCCCTTCTCCTGTGCCCCCCATCTCCCCCAATCCCACCCCCCATTCACTCCTCAAAGGGGTATAAGGCCTCCCTTGGGTAGTCAGCACAGGCTGGCATACCAAGTTGGGGCAGGACTAAGCCCCTCCAATATTAAATCCTCTATAGTTCAGCAAGTTTTCAGACTTTTGTTTTGAGATAGCCATACCCTGTAACCTGGGTCAGCCTCAAACTAATGACAGTTCTCCTGCCTCAGCCTCCTAAGTGATAGAATTACAGTTTAAACAGTCTTTTTTGTTGTTTTAGTCTTTAATTAAAGTGTATATGTGCGTGCGCACCTGCATGCACATGCACACACACATACATGGTGCCTGAGCGCATATGGAGGTCACAGGACAACTTTAGAGAATTAATTCTTTTCATCCTGCCTTTGGGTTCTGGGAATGGACTGGCTCATCAGGCGTGGCCATGGACATCTTTACCTTCCTAGCACCTAATTGGTCCCTGACCCTTATTTTATGATCTATTTGATGTTATGCCTTTTAAGTTTTTTTTACTTCTATGTCTTCAGTACCTGTACCTTCAGTATGCTTTACATCTCAGTGTTTCTTTGTGTTCTGAAAGTGGGATTTATGAATCTTCCTAGTTAAATTTTATGTGTAAAATAAATTAAGGGATGTTCTCACTACATTTAATTAAAACTTTCTGTTTTCCTAAGTTCTTGGGGTGCATTAACTGTTGATTACCAACTATGTTTGATGTAATGGTTACATTAAAGCTGACAGAAGACACAAATCTGAGAAAGGGAGGAAGGAAAGGAGCCTGCAGATGTACTGTCTTTTCCCCGCAATACCTACCCTTTCCACATAAGGCCTTCCTGTATTTATTTCTCTGAAATGATTATTTTCCATTATACAAAAAAAATCAAATATATCAATAAATTATCTGTATCAGAACTTAATTTGAATAAACAGGGAAATGAAACGAGATAGATGAAAGTGTGAAGAGATTCTTACTCTTCTATGATGGGTGAATGTGCAGAAGCACAGGTGTAGGAGATGAGGGGCTACTGAACGAGTGTGAGTATTAGACCATGTAGGCTTGTACCCCCATCCTTCCTCATGTTAGCAGGTCACCTCCAGCAAGTTACTTTGCCTTCCTACGCCTGTGTTTGATAATAGGATCCGTCCCAAGAATGTCAGAATTGAGTTAGAGTAAATCCATACAGTGTGCTGTATACCACCCATAGTAAACACTCAAGTATTAACATGACTATTAGAAGTCATAGAAGGAATGTTAAAAGATGACTGCAATTTGTTTTAGCCATTTAATTTAGAGGGTAAATGAAATTCTAGCTGAGGGATTAGAGAACTTCTCATAGATGGGTAGGGTATAAGCTGGGCTTATAACAGTGTGAACATTCTTTCATAGCAGGGAGAAACATGTCTGTAGGGCCAGAGGCCATTTTTGTGTTTTTAAATTTTCACTGTGTTTGTATCTTTGTGTCTGATAAAGTAATAATAAAGTCAACCTGTAATTTATCCCGAGAACTTCAGAGTTTAATGTGTTAACTTTGTCAGCTGATCCTTGGAAAACAGCAGTGAAGTATTCTTGTAACATCATCATCATAGTTACTAAATAGAAACATGGAGATAAAGAGGACAGGAAATGACATTTAAGTTGAAATTTTGAGACCAAAGCACATAGGAAGTTGACTATTAACCTACAGGTTCAACAATCACCTGCCCCCAATGGTATTTGACAAATGAGAATAATGTGCATTTTCCTCCACCCTTAATCTGATCATTTCTTTTCACTCCACATCCAACTTATTGTCCTTACAAAATTTGAGGTCAGCTGAATGATTTTAACTGAATGAATGTAATTACAGTGTTTACCACTCTTTAGCATTGCCCTCTCTGTTCCAAGCCCATCTTCCTGGTATTGTCAGCTTCTTTCCATATCATACTTCTACCCTTGCCCCACCCCTCAATAGTCCAGATTGAACACTTAACTATAAATATTCTTTTAAAAACTTAAGAGAAAACTGTAGGTTTAGGGTGAAAGGGCCAGCCAAAGAAACATACTCTGGCCCTGAAACCAGAGCCAATGAAAGAAACACACTTGGCCCTGAAACCAGAGCCAGTGAAAGAAACACACCCTGTCCCTGAAACCAGAGCCAAAAGGCTAAAACGGGCCAGTGAAAGAAACCCATCCCAGCAATGAAACCAGAGCCAAAGAAACCTACTCTGCCTCTGACCAACTCAACACCAAAACCAACCAATCCCAGAGCAGGAAAACGAACCAATCTCTGAGCACGAAATCCAGCCACTCTCTGAGCTTGTCCAAGTTCAGGGATTGAAATCTGACCAGTTCCCACCCTGCAAATCTTCACCCTGGAGAAGCTCTGCTCCTGAGAAGCCCTGTATAAGTAAGCCCTCTGCCTGCTCAGTTGGCCCCTGCCGTTTTCTACCCTGGCGGAGGCAGCCACTCTCCTGGATTCTTCCCTCTCAATAAATCTCTGTGAGGTTTGAGTGAAGACCTTCTTTTGCCCAAATGGAATGGAGCAGGGAAGTAACAGCTTTCCCTGGAGCCAGAGCATAAAGGAACAGAACTGCAGTAACTTCACTGGGAAAACCTTCCCCTAGCAGGGCAGAGTTGTTAACATTGGGGAAGCCTTTCCCTAGAGCAGGGCAGTGAGCTCCTTCGCTTGAGGTGACTTCGTGGTACTCCTTCGCGCCTGACTGCCAGGATCCCTTCCCATCTGATCAGCAGTGTTTACAGTAGGATTTACTGTCATATCTAGTAAAAGCCAAAAATCCAAAGCTGACAAGGTGGCCAACGGGATCTGCCATCTTGCCCCAACTGACTCCTCTCACGCTCTCCTCACCTCCACCCCGCTGTGGTTCTCCATCCCTTCTCTTCCGCTTTCGCCAGCCCCCTGGTCTTCTGTACCACCACCTACATGGTGGATGGGAGGATTTTGAGTAGTGCTAATCTCTTTTGCTCATCCTTTACAATGTGCTTGTTAGGTTTTCCTCCTTAGCTTTATCTCCTGAGTAGAGAGTATTTCTTGGGGACAGCTACCTCTGATTTCAGCAGCAGCTGCCACAGACTAGATACTCCTATGTTTGGGAAAGTGAGGAAGGGAAGAAGGAAAAAAATGAGAGATTAACTTAACATCAGATTAGGAAGTAACTGAGAGCAAATGAAAGACTTGTAAAAGTCTAATTTAACACTGTCCAATAGAAATATAAAAGCCACTTACAGACAGTTAAATTGTACTAGCAGAAAGAAACAATAAAATTGCATATATTTAATCTGTTACATATAAAATATTTTGGCATGCAACAATGTTAAAAATTTTTTAATGAGATACTTCATATTTTTTGCACTGTATCTTTACAATAGTATTTTCACTTTTAGAACATCTTTATAATATTAAATTTTGATTGGAAATACTGGACCTGTGTTTTAATAAAACTTATGTAAAAACATAGATTTGTGTGCTCAAATTTTTCTAAGCTTACTTTAAAAGTTTCGTATAACTGAATTAAATCCCAAAGTTTTAATATTTGTATCCATGTTCACATAATTAAGTTTTTTATAATAATTTATCTTTTCATAACTACATCTGCTTAAGAATATTGTGTAATTCTTTTCAACTCAGTAATATAACTTCATTTTCCAGGAAATGACATACATTGGTCATAGCTCTAAACAGTATCAGCTGCAAAACATATTTTAAGATCATATTAGTTTTGTAGCCAATTGATATAATATCTATCAGTAACTAGGATTTACCTGTCGATACATATGAGGAAAAGTAATTATAAAGTAATTATAATTGTTGGTTATTATTACAAATTTCAGTGGCAGTTTAAGTTCTGACTGTTTCATACTTCAGAATTCAGATCTCCCATTTGTAAGAGTTTCATGTGAATTAGTTCATTCATATGCAGTGTGATATTGATGAGAAAAATGTAAATTGTACTGCCTTTTTTGTTGTTGTTGTTGATGATGATTACTAGATAATGGGACTAAAACTGTGCCCACAGCAGTTTTACACAATGAGCACCAGAAAGCTAAGCACAAGTTTGTGGGGTATTTACCATATGTATCTTTCTCATGGTGTAATAAAATAATAAAACGCTTGTTTAAAAACATCAATAAATTCAATGTCTTGCTCTAACAAAGCTGGAATACCATCTGCTGGAATAACAACTTGTTTTTCATTATCTAGCTGAAATATTTCTTTAAAATATCTATTCTAAACATTTTGAGGTTTTTTTTCTCAGCTAAAAATTAACATTTCATCAAAACTTTGAAAGTTCTTTGAGATAAATGTTCTTGAAATCTCAGTCCGCTGTTTTCTCTTTTGTTACATCATATACCTGAAACTATAGAAAAGTAATTGGTTTACATATTTTAGTTCTGCAGATCACTAGTATTGTTAGAAAGTTTCTAGGGTATGTGGGAATTTGTGACTTAATTAAAGACCTATATATTTACAAAGTACCTTTTCTGTCCTTATCATAACTGAAATTACCAGCTTAATTTAAAAAAAAAATGGTTTCCTTTGTTTCATAAACCAAATAGGTTCTCCCGCTGCCAGGGTTACAAATGTGGAGCATTTCCTTCTGAGTTAACGGTGAATCCCATTCGTTCTTTGCTGGTTATTAAAAGAAGACTTTCTAGCAAATTCATGGTGCGCTTACAAAAAATATGTTTCTCTATTGCTCAGTGTTTATATATTGAAAAAATATTGTATTCCAAATATCTTTGTAAAATCTTCATGCTCAGTCTCTTTTTCTGTCCTGGTCATATTGCTAGTCAGTTTATTCTTCATCAGTAGAATATCCTAATTGTATTCTTCTTAATATTTTGATGTATTCTTTGACAGTATCCTACATGTGTGTAATGTATTGTGATCATTTTCACCCCTAACTCCCACTCCGTCTCTCCCCTTACCCTTTATACTTCCCCATCCCACCTTAATGTCCTCTCTCTCTCTTTTTATAACCTTCTGAGTCCAATTAGTGATGCCTGCATGCTTGGTGGTTAATGGAGTCCTCCAACTGCACCCCTGAAGAGTAGTGACTCTACCTCCCTCAGCAGCCATCAGTTGGGAATAGCCCCTTAGCTAGGATAGTGCCTTGTGAGCCCCTCCCCCACGCATGCCAGAATGCTGGCGACCTTGGGTAACTGTAGCTGCTGGGAGTTCCTGAGGGCAGTGGCCATGTCATGTTCTGAAGACAGCATGTCACAGCACTTTCCCATCCTTCAGCTCTGACAGTCGCCATGCTCTGCCTGGTCAGCAGATGTTCCCGGAGCCTTGAAGGGGTTAATAGAGATGTTCTCTTTAGGACTGAGCACTCAGCGGTCACTTAGTCTCAGCTCTGGGGTCAGATAGAAAACTGTACAATGACTGCTGCTCACCGGGAAAAGAAGATTCTCTAACCAGGGATGAAAGCAGGCACTAATCTGTGCATTGAAACAAATATTTAGTAGGCATTTTGATACCGTGTCCGTTTAACAGAACATTAGTACATTAGTAAGTTCCCTCTTAAGGCTATGGTCTCCCCAGCCATGTTTTTTTTGTTTGTTTGTTTGTTTTACCAAAGTTACATGAATTCTTCCTGTACAGTGGGCCTCACATCCGGTCAGAAAGTGGGTAGCTGTGCCCCTAACCGACATGCTGTTCTTGTACCAGTAGACACACACTGTCCGGAAGGTGGGTATGGTGGCATACAGGGTCCACTACTGGAGAAGTCCACTGATGCTTTTCTCCCTCAATCGCCTACATAGCACCTCTCAGCACTATGGAAGCTAGCCAGCAGGAACTTTCTAGGTCAGCTCAGCTTGGTTTCTCTGTGTCCTGCAACCAAAGTATGTTATGTCTTCAGCAATAGCATCTTACAAACTAGTTATGGTAGGGAAGCAGGACCAATGGCAATAGCATGTGGTGTTTGAGGGGCAGGGAGCCCTGGGGTCTTGCTGACCACTAATTCATGGGGGAAGTCCCTTTATTAACTCATTTCGAGACTGTATCTTGTACAATGATGAACCAGTCCTAAAAGCATCGTGGTTTCTCCTTTCAAAAGGTCTTTAGCTGTTTTAAATTACGGAAGCTGATTTACCTTTAGTGTAATGACCTAAAAAGAAATCAGCGAGTAACTAAAGGGAAGAGAGGGATAGTGGGCAAAAGGCAGAGAAAGAAAAAAATAAAAGAACAAGCTTTAGATATTGGCGTCCTTTTTCACTGAAAGGGTCTGGCCCTTTGTTTTTCTTCAACCAGGGATCACCATGACACTTCATACTCTTGGTTCTGTAATGAATTGACTGTACTGGTTTCTGAAACCTGTCCTTTTTTTTTTTTTTTTTTTTTTTTTTAGACTTCATGCCCTACAGAGTAGCCCAGCCCTGCTGTTTAAATTATAAGGACAGTTTCCCATGAAGTTATACTTGTCACTTTTTTTGTCTTCAAGTTCTAACAACTTCTAACAGGCATGAGCCAGCCAGTCCTGTAGCATCTTCCTTTGATCAACAA